TTAAAGAGAGAACAAATTATATATATATATATATATATATATACCAAAAATAAGGTTAACTATGAAGGGATAGAATATGACTCTTCCAGAAAGTGGTCGCTTTTCTTTCAGAGAGTTGCTGCTATTCTTTTCTTCAATCTCCTGTTGAGTTTGTAGGTGTTCAGAATGGTTTGATCCCTATCTAGCTGAATTCCTGGGACCAGATGAAATTTAGGTTTCCTACTCCTCTGCCATCTTGCTCCTGCCACCAGATTTCCTTAGTTTGAACATTTTTTTTCTGTTCCATAATCCCATGTAGGATACCCCATTACATTTATGTAATCATATCTTTTTTTTTATTATGTTTTGTTAATCACCATACATTACATCATTAGTTTTTGATGTACTGTTCCGTGATTCATTATTTGCGTGTAACACCCAGTGCTCCATGCAGAACGTGCCCTCTTTAATACCCATCACCAGGCTAACCCATCCCCCCAACCCACTCTGCTCTAGAACCCTCAGTTTGTTTCTCAGAGTCCGTAGTCTGTCATGGTTCGTCTCCTCCTCTGATTCCCCCCCCTTCATTCTTCCCTTCCTACTATCTTCTTTTTTTTTTTTAACATATAATGTATAATTTGTTTCAGAGGTACAGATATTTTGTCACCCAAAAATGTTAAACTTTTGTATAGTCGGGAGGGATAGACACTATAAATAAAGCAATATTAGCTATGAGTTTATGATTGCCAAAGCTGGTAATGGGGACATGGGAATTCATTGTAGTCTCTACTTTTATATATATTTGAAATTTTCCTTATTAGAAATGTTTCAAACATGCCAATTTATCAATAATAGCGTTTAAGTTTGTCTAAAATATTTATTATTAAGTATTTTGAAGAGTAAATAAAATACCATTTTCTATGTATTTATAGAGCCCTGGATATACTCCTCATAAAAAGCCACATCATAGACCTTTTGTTGTATCGATTTCATATTTTTGTATGTTTGTTTGAAGTGCTTGAAGCGCTTAACATGGAAAAAATGATGTCCACCATTTCCTGCTGGATGGAAAGCCCAAGACACTCACTGGCATCAACAGACTCTGGAAGCACCGAGGAAATTCCCATATTAATCATCGAAGGCTTCCTTCTCTTTAATTATAAGTAAGCATCCTCGACCTCGTATTGACCCTGAATGAATGGGGGGGAGCCTCGTGAACTCAAGACGCCGTTATTTTAGGCCCCTCGACACTCTGTGGAACCGAAGCTACTTTCTGACGATCCCTTATGAAGAATGTAAGAGGAGGAGGAGGTGAGTTTTGAAACCGCCTTTGCGGATTCTAACTCAAAAGACAAAATTAACACGGGTATGGAAAGCACAGCAGAAGGAGTAGGGTCCGTAGTGTTTGTAACAACACAGTATGGTGACAGGTGGTAGCTCCGCTCAGGGTGCGCAGAGCCTAACGTAAGGAGAAGTTGAATCCCTATGTTGTTCGATCGAAAGCAATGTAACCTCAGGGCGCCTGGGTGGCTCAGTCGTTAAGCGTCTGCCTTCGGCTCAGGTCATGATCCCCGGGTCCTGGGATCGAGCCCCACATCGGGCTCCCTGCTCCGCGGGAAGCCTGCTTCTCCCTCTCCCACTCCCCCTGCTTGTGTTCCCTCTCTCGCTGTGTCTCTCTCTGTCAAATAAATAAATAAAATCTTAAAAAAAAAAAAAAAAGAAATTAATGTAACCTTGTGTGTCAACCATACTTCAATTAAAAATAAATTTTTTTAAGTAAAATATATGTGGATTATGATTCTAAATTCAAGAGCTTTTACTCTGTTACAGACACAAAGAATACCAATTAATTGAAAGCTTAAGCCAACACATCAGGTCCTCTGTCATTATTAACATTGATATTTCTCTCTTAATTCTCTTATAAAGCACTGAAGGAGGGGGAGATAATTATGAATGATAGTGAATTACAAAAGTAACTAAAAAATTACAAAAGATCAGAAAACTAAATCTGTTTTGTTCTCTCTGTAACTAGTGTTGAATCTAAAATGTATACTCTGAATTCTGTTTAGATTCAGTCTCAGTGATTTTTCCCATTATCCTGACCATTATTATTTTACTTTTATCAATTGTGTGTTTCTGTGCACATAAAGTTTCCTATGTGTTTTGGTAGTACAAGGATCTACGAGCCTCCAGACATCCCAGGGTACTTTGACGGCCACGTGTGGCCCATGTATCTAAAGCACAGACAAGAAATGGAGAATATCACATGGGAAATTGGTAAGTACCTTTTCTTCCCCCACAGAAGGCCTTTATTTGTCGTTGCTCCAAGTCCACAAGAGAAAGGATTTTTTGAAAGGAGGTGTTTTTCTCATGGATTACATTATAAAGGAAGCCTTTAAGCCAGAATACTCTGGGCCGTTCCACAATTGACTGTCCTGGTTTCTGTTTCTCTCTGTAAGGCTCTTATCAAAGCCTGTCAACTTCTAGATGGTCATTCACGAAACAGGTATTAATCGAATGCCTTCCTGACAAGGCACTGCCCTGTTGATACTGAGGAAAATAAGACAAACCCAGCCCCTACTCTTAGGAGCCGGCATTCTAACAGGGAAACAGGCCTTAAAGACACTAGCTGCCTGAGCATGTCCTTTCTAGCTATGCTAAGTGCTGTGACACCACGTTCCAGGGGGACTACCCGAGGCCCAGCAATCAGGGAAGGCTTCCTTGAGGAAGCCACTTAAACCACACTTTGAGGGGTTTAACTGGATAAAGGGAGGTAGTTTGGGGGCGACAGAAGATCACTCCAGACAGTATGCAAAAAGGCCAGGGACAGGAAGGAATGAATAGCACCCGAAAAAAGGTTGGTGTATTTTTGGTAGAGGAAACCAAGAGAGAGAGGGGATGCTGGAGACACAAGGAAGATCTAAACTCTACAAGGCCATAGGCCAGTTAAGGACTTGGGTCATTATCCTAGGAGAATTGGGAAGCCCTCTACAGAGAGGTTTCAAACAAGGACATGGTAAATACCAAATTCTTGTTTTAGTGAGATTGCCCTGGCTATGTGAGCATGGATGTATTATGTGCTTAATAGAACAGAATGACATAAGAGATATGGAGGGTGGCCCTCTCTCCCTCTCCATCTTAATTGCCAATCTAGGGGTGCTTGGCCGGTTCAGTCGGTGGAGGATGCAACTCTTGATCTCAGCGTTGTGAATTCAAGACCCACATTGGGTGGAGACATTGCTTAAAAATGAAACTTTAAAAAAAAATGCCCATCTAACCATGCCCCCACTTTGCTTAAATGCCTGCAAAGAGTCTCTAGCTTTTGGTGGGACATCTGGGTGGCTCAATCGGTTAAGCGGCTGCCTTCAGCTCAAGTCATGATCCCAGGGTTGTGGGATCCCACGTCGGGCTCCTTGCTCAGCGGGGAGTCTGCTTCTCCCTCTGCCTGCCACTCCCCCTGCTTGTGCTCTCTCTCTGACAAATAAATAAATAAAATCCTTAAAAAAAAAAAAGAGTCTCCAACTTTTTGGGATAAAATCCAAACAGGCCCCTAAAGACTAAGGCATAGACAGCCTTGCTCTAAAATCTCATCTCTCCAGTGTTCCTACCTCCCGCATTCTAGCCCTTCCAAACTGTTCATCCTTTTCTTAAGAAGCAAACTTATCTCTTACCTCCAGTTTTCTGATTAAACTTTCTTTTCTTCCTTTAACCTATTTAACTTCCACCTTTTCTCTAAAATTACCTATGCCATTTTGGGTAAGAATACATATCTCCCAGGCCTGGAGAATGCTGAGTCAGTACACGTGGCAGAGACCAAACCCCTGCATGGTTCTTTCTGCCCACGGGTCCTGTTCCTATGCTTTAATAAAAATCACCTTTTTGCACCAAAAAGAAAAAAAAAGCTTCACGAGTGATCCTGATGCATAAGTAAGTTGGAGAACCACCCCCTTAAATGATTCTTCTGGGGAGGCACCACCTCAGTGCTGCTAAAGGGTCACATACACAGTGCCATTTAACTCTTTTTCAAAAAATAATTTCCACATCTGTTAATATGCATTCCTCCCTATTAAACCGATTTTTCTTTACTTATTTTTCCTGACTCTAATCTCTTTCTGTCTTTAATGGCTATTAATTTCTTTGTAAGTGTTTAAGATCCTGTGTTCATTTAAATCTATTAGTATTCTTTTTTTTTTTAAAGATTTTTTTTATTTATTTATTCGAGAGAGAGAGAATGAGAGCTAGAGAGCACGAGAGGGAAGAGGGTCAGAGGGAGAAGCAGACTCCCTGCTGAGCAGAGAGCCCGATGTGGGACTCGATCCTGGGACTCCAGGATCATGACCTGAGCCGAAGGCAGTCGCTTAACCAACTGAGCCACCCAGGCGCTCTTTTTTTTTTTTTTGAGCGGGGAAGGGGCAGAATGAGAGAGACAGAGAGAATCTCAAGCAGGCTCCACGCCCAGTGCAGAATCCGCCGCGGAGCTCGATTTCACTACCCTGAGATCGTGACCTGAGCTGAAATCCAGAGTCAGATGTTTAACTGACTGACACACCCAGGCGCCCCTAAACTTACTAGTATTCTTAAGAGATGTCAGATGCCAGAGTAAGAATCCTCTACTAATAGGCCCATTGGCATTTGAACCGCTCTCCTTTCTCCTTTTCAGTTTACCTAGATGGAACAAAGTCAGAAGAGGATCTCTTTTCACAAGTGTATGAAGATCTCATACAAGAACTAGCAAAGCAAAAGTGTAAGTATTGTGGATGGTGAAGGAACAGCCAGAAAAACAGTTCATTACACACCCAAGAATGGCTTACCTGAATGCTCAGGAGTGGTTGTATCCATTCGTTCCTTGCTTTGAAGATAATTCAGAGTCAGAGACTCGGAATGGGTTTGAGGCCCTGATTATTTTGTGTATGAGGTTTTTTGTTGTTGTTGTTTTTAAGGCTGAAAATATGCACCCATTGTTACAGCCCTTCATGACGTTTATGTTACAGAGTTTAATTTTTTTAGTAGATGGCTGTTATTTCAGTGGGAATGACATTATCCTTTGGGCAGAGTGAAGTTAAAGGGCTGATGATCTTGTTTGTTTTTTTGTTTGTTTGTTTTAAAGATTTATCAGAGAGAGAGAGAGCGAGCACAAGCAGGGGGAGTGGCAGGCAGAGGGAGAGGCAGGCTCCCCGCTGAGTAAGGAGCCCGATGCGGGACTTGATCCCAAGACCCCAGGATCATGACCTGAGCCGAAGGCAAATGCTCAACTGACTGAGCCACCCAGGCGCCCCCTGATGATCTCATTTTAATATGTCTAGAGCGCTCCTTCCCCTTTAGTCCTCTTAAAGATTTCCCATGAATTTTTTTTCCCAGATACCTCAAAAATAAACACAATGTTAAAAAATATTTATTGAGTATTTCTTTAAGGTTCTCATCTTAGATGCCACATTTTGCAAGAACCAGAAACCCTCCTCGATCTGGTTAAGCGGGAAGAAAGTACAGGGGTAGCTGCGGCTTCAGGATCAGCTGGATTAAGGAGCTCAAATGTAGCCTTCAAGCCTCTGCTATAATTCCACGTTGCTGTTTGGGTTTCTTTGGAGTCAGACTCACTCCACCAACAGATAGGATGGCTGTTGGCAGCACCATCCTCCCGGGTACAACATCCCCAGTAGAAAAAGACAGTTTATCCTTCTCTAGATTTCCCATTGGTTGATAAATGTCAAAGCTGGGTGTTGAGTTCCAAGGAGCTCATATATGATTCTCACCACTTTAGCATATGTTTAAAATTCCTTTTTTTAAAAAAGTTTCGTAAAAAGCAGTTTTGCATTTTGGCCCAGCTGAAAAGTCCCAGGGAAGATTTGGATTGGTCCTGCTTGGGTCACATGGCTTGTACTAACCTAATCGCTTTGACTCTGGACATGGCACACTCTGATTGGCTAGGACTGGATCATGGACTCATCTTGTCATTGAATGCTTCTCCTAAGGCCTCCTGTTTAGCGGGAGAAATATCCCCCCAAAAGGAGAGCAAAGCAGGAGGTAGAAACCAGAAGGAGGATGAAAAAGCTTGCTGGGAGAACAAAACTATAGATCCAGATGCTGTTGTATTTGAACTATTGGAACTAAAAGGGTCTTCACGGTTAACACATGCAAAATGCAGTCATTCACTGGTTGAAGGGAAGGCAGTGTGAGTCACTCCTGCAGGGGAGAATATTACCTGCTTTTGAGAAGCAGCTACCCTAGGCCAGATGTCATCATCTCTTAATAAGAATTAGATTTCCTTTGTTCTCAGTGAATTCCTATCTTATGAGGGATCTGAGCCCAGCCAGCCCATTGAGCCTACATACTCCTGATTTCAGCATCAGCCCTTCATGTAGGCATGATTCCATTTGAAGAAATCTCATGACCATTTTAAAGTTTCTTATAAGTGGAACTTAGAGTCCTTGGCATATATGACGTGAAGGGCTATAAAGAGTGTAGAGTGAAGGGAGGAGTTCAGCACCTGAGCCGAGCCACTTGGTCGAGAGTGATTGGCCCCCTTTCTGGCCCTAATGAGATACTTCAGGGTGTTTTAGCTGCTGGACACCTATACCATTCCATCCCCTTGGTAATGGCCAGTGCTTAAGTCCATTTTTTTAGTGACTAAGTGATACGCTGGAGTTTGGCCTTGTGATCCATCTCCTGATAAAGACGAAAGGAGCCTTCACCAAGTAGCTCAAACTGCAAGCTCGTTCCATATCAAATATCAGCCTTTGCCGTCTGTTCCGAGGCCCAAGAACAGCAGGTATGTTTTGACGGACACGGAAAGCCCACGAGAGAGTACATGTCCACATGTGTGGCAACGCTCTTTCCTTGCTTACGTCCTAGGGGCTGGAAAGGAGTATCCCCCTATGCCTTTTAAGGCTATCTTGCTTGTGTTCTAGTTACCAGATAAAGTTAAGTAGAAAAAAAAATAATAACGAATGTTAGAAGAGACATAAAATCCAAAGCAGATCAGCTTTTCTTACCTCTTAAGATCTGTATCAGTTTTTTTTTTCCCCAGTTGCATAAATCAGTTAGGGTGTTATTTATAGTAACCTACCACCTTTCCCAGTTCTTGCAACCACGGTGCCCTGGCAGGGCTGCCTGGAGGGCTCCTTCGCATGGCCTGGTTTAACCCACAGTCAGAGGCTGAGCTAGCAAGGAGGCCTTTCCTAGGTTTCAGTGGACTACTCTGCAGGCTCCTCATAACCTCTCGTAATCCTGCTGAACTAACCTTCCATTCTAAGCCCATAAAATCATAATTGTGATAAAGTAATAATAATGAGAGGGACACAGATTGAATTTAATGATTAATGAAACAAATGACCCAAGAGAGTAAGAACATAAAGTTATATGTTTAATTTAATCCTTATTTAAATTCAGTGTTTGAGGCAAAATTTAATCATTACCTATCCTCACAATGACAAGGCCGTCTAGCCCCCGGAACTTTCAGACTCCTTTGGAGAATGTTTATTTTCACGGTGGTAGTTTTCTCCGTGGCACGCTGGTTACGCTTTCAAGGGAGCCTGACTCTGTCACATATACTAGATAGGAACTGGCAAGGCTTGACAGGAGATTGGCTCCCACATGTGGAAAGGAAAAGGGGGAAAAAATGTCTATTTCCATCTCAGTAAAAAAGCATATTCATTATAAAAAAAAGAAAATAATCACTTGAATTCCCACCAATCAGCAATGTTAACACCTTAATGAGCACACATCCAACATTTTTGCCGTTCACGTCAGCCTCTTACGTGGTTACATCGTTAATCGCAATGCTCATTTCTTTTTTTTAATATTTTTACATTAGTTTTGAATATTTAAAGGAGCTTTATAGAGTTTATTATATAATGAAACTGAGTAAAACTAAATAGCTCTTCCAGTTAGAGGAGTCAAGGCTGAGTTCTATTTTGCTCCTTTCAAGTGAGTTATAAGACTTGGCATTGATATCTCAGTGCAGAAGAAAGATGTCACATGTCTTGTTTCAAATCAAAGGAATAAGAAATTGCAAAATAAAATTTAATAAAAGGTGTGGGGCGCCTGGGTGGCTCAGTCAGTTAAGCGACTGCCTTCGGTTCAGGTCATGATCCTGGAGTCCCGCGATCGAGTCCCGCATCGGGCTCCTGGCTCAGCAAGGAGCCTGCTTCTCCCTCTAACCCTCCCCCCTCTCATGTGCTCTCTCTCTCTCTCATTCTCACTCTCTCAAAATAAATAAATCTTTAAAAAAAATAAAAGGTGTGTATTTTTCTTTTGGCATTTTTCTTTTTTTTTTTTTTAAAGATTTTATTTATTTGACAGAGAGAGAGAGACAGCAAGAGAGAGAAGGGGGAGTGGGAGAGGGAGAAGCAGGCCTCCCGCGGAGCAGGGAGCCCGAGGCAGGACTCAATCCCAGGACCCTGGGATCATGACCTGAGCTGAAGGCAGACGCTTAACGACTGAGCTACCCAGGCGCCCCTCTTTTGGCATTTTCTACATCGAATTTAAAATATAATGTTCAATTAAAAGTAATAGTATAATTATCTAATATAATAGCCCAAATTATCATAAGATTAATGACCCAATTCGCAATTGCTGAGTATTTAGTACCTTTACAAGTGTTTCACATTGGCAAATAACATGCTATAAAAATATCTACACATATCACTTGTTTTCTTCTTCTGGAATTATATTAAATTTTCTAGAAGTAGCACTTGATTGGTCAAAGTATAATCATATTTATATGTATATATTTCAGAAATTAAATATTACACTAAAAATTGTGTTTCTCCAACACGAACTCTGTAATATGAATACAATGGGTTTATCACTGAGTTTCAAACCAAATCACCAAGTATTCAGCTAGGCTTCCTTGGTTTAAGAAAAAAAAGAGTAAAGGTACCCATGCACTTTCCCCAAAATCAAAGGAAATGCTCCAAAACAATAATTCTACTACAACCAGCCACCCTTTGTGATATTCTTCTAATTTTCATACTATTTCATTCCTTGAAGCCAATTATTATACCAATTGCAAATGAAATTAGATATCTGATATCTTAATTTAGGCTTAAATTTAGTCTAAGGATTAAAAGAAGGAGAGTTGGCCTCTATTTAGTTCTTGATGGAAAACCAGCATTTCTGGCTCCAGAATCCCTGTAATCTTAATAGTAGATTAAGATTTACTCTTGATAGTGTGAAGATTTAACACAATGAGAATTGGAATTCTCTATTAATTTCTTCCTACTTATATTTGTTTCCAAGGTTTGCAAGTAACAACATAAAGATGGACTGCACTGAATCCTTCCTGGGATGAATTAGGAAACTCAAAGGAGTATATTTAAGAGCCTTAGCCAAGGGCGCCTGGGTGGCTCAGTTGGTTAAGCGACTGCCTTCGGCTCAGGTCATGATCCTGGAGTCCTGGGATCGAGTCCCACATCGGGCTCCCTGCTCAGCAGGGAGTCTGCTTCTCCCTCTGACCCTCTTCCCTCTCGTGCTCTCTATCTCTCATTCTCTCTCTCTCAAATAAATAAATAAAATCTTTAAAAAAAAAAAAAAAAAGAGCCTTAGCCAAGATACAATAAGTACTTTGGTATGATAACATCTGTTGGTTCGTTTGTTTGTGTTATCACACATGGTTTCCCCGACATCTGGAACAGTAAATCATTATCCACACCACCGGACAGGAATTTACCTTAATGAGTTGTTCTTGCTCCAAGGAGTACAGAGAGAGAGCATAGCTCATAATGAGTCAGTTCCTCTGGACCAGTGGTTGTCAAACTTCTCTGAGTGGGACCCAGAGTACCAAATAAGATTTACATCACAATCCAGTATATATGTAACCTATTGTGCTTGTATGTGTCTGTGTGTGTGTGTGCAGGTATATATGTATGTGATGTGTGTATATATATGCCTATCAAGTATCATAAAGCACTTAACCTTAGATTCAATGCATGCTGATATTTTTCTATTTTTATAATATTCATTACCATCTAATACCAATGCCCATTTCCTGCAAATAAAGGCTTTAGCGGTCACATTGAATAAATCAACAATTTACTAGAGTGTCTTTTTTGTGTGTGGGTTTTTTTTTTTTTTTAAGATTTTATTTATTTATTTGACAGAGAGAGAGAGATAGTGAGAGCAAGAACACAAGCAGGGGGAGTGGGAGAGGGAGAAGCAGGCTTCCCGCCGAGCAGGGAGCCCGAGGCGGGACTCAATCCCACGACCCTGGGATCATGACCTGAGCCGAAAACCGACTGAGCCACCCAGGCGCCCCTTTGTGTGTGTTTTCTTACTATGGGTAAAACCACTGGATCATTGTGTCACTTGTGTTGATACTTTGTTATAATAGGGAGTATTTTGTGTGTTTTATTGTTTCTGTCAAACCAATGGCCTAAAGTCACAGAAATCAGTTATGGTTACTTAAATGATAAGTAGTACCTTTCATTGAAAGGAACAGACAGGAGATCTGAATTGTATAATTTTTTGAGGCCTCTTTCAATGCTGGAATTTAAATTATCTGCTGTACTGATCAACCTCTTGTTTTTATAACAAATAGATTGCTCCCAGTCCTCTCGATCTTTACAAATATAAATATATTGTTACCTTAACTTTAACTGGTCTTTACAGACTCATTTGAGCAGCTGTCATTATTTCTGTAGCTCTAACTAGCTCGTACTCGGGGAATTAGGGAGGGGTTTTGGATCACACACACTTACACAACAAGCAAACAGCAACAAAAAAAACAAACCCTGAGCCCAAATGGCAGTTCTCCCATCTAACAGCTCTATGACTCTGATCAAATTGTGGGAAGTCTTTATTTTAAACTATTGGAAGTCTCTATTTCATATCAACAGTACTTAGTGTGGGTGTAGCGTAGAGTAAGGATTAAGTTCAGACTCCTTAATATAGCCTCCAAGGCACTCCCTGAACTAGCTTCTGTGTGCCTCTCTATTCCCCTTGCCCATTGCCCATCACTCAACCCATTGCTGTTCAGTGCCATGACCTCCTCTCCTCAAACTTACCGGGATCCTTCCTGCCTCGTGGTGGGCACACATGCTGCTCCGGATGCTCAGAGCAAACTTCCACACCCCTCCCCTCCAATCAGCCTGCCCCCCTGCCCCTCCTTCAGAGTGCCTTGATGTCCTAACTCAAGGAGAACTTCCTTCTGTAGATGCTCACAAAGCTCCCCTACTTGTCCTCCAGAGCACTAATCACAATTGGAATTATGCTACCATCACTCATTTAGAATCGCTCATTTAGCGACAGTCTCTCCAGCTACAGAGAAGCTCCATGAACGCAGGTCTTGCCACTGTGACTGAGTTATACACACATCCCTGCGAACCAGCACAGTGTCTAGCACATGATGAACACCCCAAAAAATATTGGGTACAAAAGCAAATTCCTATTACGTCAAGAATGAATTCACATGCAACCAATATATTTTTTGAGTAGTAGCTTAAGCTCATCGGGGTTTTCATTTGTTTGTTTTTTTACATAAGAAGAAAGCTCAAGGCAGGCAGTCCAGAGTTTGCACATGGTGTTTTCAGATTTAGGGGAAAAAAACAACACAATTAGAGGACACACAGTTAAATTTGAATTTCAGATAAACTATAGTTATTTATAAATAACTTTAGTGTAAATAAGTCCCAAATACTACATATATAAGACTGTTGTTTTTCTGAAACTCAAATTTAATTGGGTGTCCTGTATTTTGTCCAGCACCTCTGCTTTTGCACAACTCAAAAATGTCAGAAAAAAAGCCAGGGTTGTCCATCCTTGGCTTGTGGTCCTATCACCAGGAGGTCACAGGAAGGCCTTGAAAGTTCCCAATGTCGTGTCAGCTATCAAAGCAGGAAGATGGGGGGGAAGGGGCACAAATAGCCCATGCCTTCCAAAATCCCCCAGTAGTGTCCCCAGCAGACTCAGATGTCTCTGGAGCCAGGACTGGCTCACATGGCCACTTCTTACTGCAAGGGAGGCAAGACAGAGACTGTCATGACAGATTTGAACCAATTATGATTCATTGTCTGGGGATATTGCCATGAGAACAAAATCAAGCCTCTTTTAGCAAGGAAGGAGGAGGGAACAAGTGAGCAACCCAAAGTGCCTACCACAACCTTTTCTCCACCTACCCTTCCTGGCCATGATTTTATCAAGCTTGGATTGCTCTAATTCCAAATTACTGTTCTCAAAACAGTAGGAACTTTTTTTTTTAGAATAAAAGTCTAGGGATACCTGGGTGGCTCAGTCCATTGAGCGTCTGCCTTTGGCTCAGGTCATGATCCCAGGGTCCTGGGATGGAGGGAGCCTGTTTCTCCCTCTGCCTGCAGCTCGCCCTGCTTGTGCTGTCTCTGACAAATAGATTAAAAAATCTTAAAAACAAAAAGAATAAAATCTAGACGTATTTTTTAAACATCATTTCCAAGAACTTCTGAAATACCCTCTTCTCCCCAACCCTCACCCCCCCACCCCCGAGGGATGTCCCTGCTGATTGAGGATCATTACCCTTGACTTTTCTCCCCATTTCAGCATGCGAAACTAGGTCAGAGAAAGATTCTTTACCTTGAAGGGGAGATGAAAAGTCTTAAACGACATTAAAAATAGAAATAGTCAAATCCCTTTGAGAGGAAATAAGTATCTTTTTGCTTACTACTATCAGTGAGAAATAAATCAGGAATTCAAAATGAAGACTACCTCATTTCTCATTTCTGGCAGTGCATTTTCACACCACAGTTCGTCTTGCCCACACAGTTGATGAGACATTATATCTATTTCAAAAGGCAGATGCTCTTTATATATTGAAAGGAGCAAACCTGTTGACATCTCCACTCTGTACATAAGTAGCTTCAATCCTTTTAGGTGAATTTGTTGTAGGAAGACTTCATCGTACTTAATATCAAACAGGAAGGAATCACAAAGGAACTTTATACGGACTGTCACAGTAGAGGGTGAGACTCAAACCCAAGTTAACCTTTTAAGGCCATGCGCCTGGTAGTGCACAGAATCACAAAATGTTGGAGCAGGATCAGCTGGTCCAACCTTCTGTATTTCAGTATGGAAATTAAAACCGGAGCTGGTGACCTGCCCAACCCCATGCAGCTAGTTAGTGGTGGGATGAGAGCCAGGTCACCATCCCCACACCGCTCAAATAGGCACACACACACACACACACATTTTTTAATTTCAAAGCAAGAAAGGGCAGAAAAGTCGTCTGCCAGACTACATCATCTGTCCTCTCTCCTTTGAAGACTGCAAATTGAGGAGCCTGGGAAGACAGGGGCTGAGGCAGGGAAACGTGAAACTTTCTGCTCTGGGCTGTTGGAGCCTAGTCAAGGAGACAAGCCTGCTCACAAGCAGTGGGAAGCTAATGTGTGCTCCATGCCGCTATCTGGCTGGGCTGACCTTGGGCTTGGGGTCCTAGCTGCTCTTCCAACAGTCCATCTGTGGTGGAGAGTTAGGGAAGGGCAAGGATATGGAAAAAGTAGAACAGGCATTGCGCTCCTTTTTCTTGCAAACACACAGAAATAGAAATGGCAATAGCAGGTTCAGGGATCTAATCAAGGGAGTGTGACCTGCAGATAAGAGAACATCAACTTTCTTACCAAAGTGAGCATATCTGATAAGTGCATGCCCACGAGTCCAGAAACACGTCAAGGCGAAAGTGGATGTATAATAATATGCTCCCTGCACGCTTCCAGATCCCAAAGAGTTAGGTCACGTTCTTCAAGATTAAAAATTGAAACTAGGGGCGCCTGGGTGGCTCAGATGGTTAAGCGTCTACCTTCGGCTCAGGTCATGATCTCAGGGTCCTGGGATCGAGTCTCACATTGGGCTCCTTGCTTAGCAAGGAGCCTGCTTCTCCCTCTGCCTGCCACTCCCCCTGCTTCTACTCTCCCTCTCTCTCTCTCTGGCAAATAAATAAATAAAATCTTAAAAAAAAAAATTGAAACTAAAGCTCGGATAAAGAAATCTGTATTGACTCTTCCCTCCAAGCCTACACAAGATCCCAGAACTTATTGTTATCCCAGTGGTTTTCAAACCTTAGCATGTACCAGAATCACTTGGATAGTTTGTTAAAACAGACAGCTGGTCCCCAACCCCAGAGTTTCTGACCCAGTAAGCCTGGGATAAGGCCCTAGAATTTGCATTTCCAACAAGTTCCCGTGTGATGTCGACAGTGCTGACCCAGGGACCACTTTCAGAACGACTGCTCTACAGAGGACCAACAGCAGCTTGCAGACCCAGGACAGGCCCCACGGGCTGTTACTTGGACACTATCAGCCTGAAAGAATCAGTATTATCCGCCCCTAAAGATATTGCCAAATCACGCTCGTGCTAGTTATGGGTTTTATCACTCCAAATTCTTCCTTTTTGCCTCCTCTGCAAAAATTAATCTGGGCCCTTTACATGTTTTTCCCTTCCCGGGGGGAATGATGTTAGGCTTTGTCAACAGAAGGTGCTGGAGAGACATGGCAGAAGAAAAGGGTTTTGCTTTTGGTTCTTGTGGGTTGGCAACTGTAGCCGAATACCTCTGGGGAGGCACCTCCCCACTGAGCCGCTTTTCCATGGCCCCCTAAAGGGAGGGTGGTTCCCAAAGTTCTAGAAGATGGATTTCTAGCACGTTTTGTCAGCATAACACCAGAGCTACTTTCCAGCCATTCCTGAGCCTTGGCAGTGCCGTCTCCAGTGAGGTTTGGCTCTCATTAGTGACCACATAAATATGAGGTTTTGAGAGGCAAAGTAACTACCCAAAGTTCCACGGCTCACGCTTGTTGGAACCAGGTTTTGGAACCCAAGCAGGGAGCTCTTAACCACCATACTGTACTGTCCTATAAGGCGTGTCCTAGAACGCTGTGACGCGG